TGAGCAATGTGAGTTACTCGAGGTGCCTCAAAAGCAACACTGAAATTGCTCATGATTAGGAGCTGTCTTGCCCCTTGCTAATATGTGTTTATTTATTCCCTGAGAGTTTCAAAAATATCCGACCCAAAATGAATTTTTGGTTATCATTTTTGTCTGTTGCATTTTTCCGAGTACAGTCTTTATTCCGTCAAATATGGTGTCTTCGGAACACTTATTGCTTATATAATAAGGAATGAGTGCACCAAAGACACCATGACGAAATCGTGCATTTTTATCATCCTTTTTAATAAGTGAAAACGTGCCTATTTGTCCAGTTTGGTGTGAAGTGCGCAATATTCCTGTTTTTTTTTCAGCAATAGGTCGTATGAATAAAAGCGTTTACTTTACTTTTCCCGTAAGAAAAGCACGGGAAAGTAAAGTAAACTATTTTTAATCATACGGCCAATATTTCTTGATTCTTTAGCTAACTATAATTGCGTGTGCTTGAAGTGGTACTGGAAGAAGTTTTAATTTTAACTAGATACATACCACCAAACAATTATTATTGTAACATAGGGACGATGCATTAATTATGTCACGCTAAATTGAGGAAAACTTAACCCCCTTTCGACACGTTTTTCCTATACCTTATTCATTGTTTGTCACAAAATATTAAACCCCCCTCCCTCCTTAGAGCTTGACATAATATATGGGTCATTCCGCGCCAAGTGTACACAGCACATGAAAATGACCTCTTCCGATTTGGACCAAATTTAGAAGGAAAGTTCATTTAAGTTCGAATTTAAAAAATCCAAAGTCTTATGCTAATCGGAGCACCCCTCGGTCAAGGGGCGCATTTTACATTTTTCGTGATTCTTTGGAAAGCACTACCTTCTTTTGTTCATATCTCCGGAACAAATAAAGTTAGAAATTGCATTAGGTATTATTTTCATAAGGAAATTAGACAAAAATCTAAACTGTAACTTTTGTTTCTGTACAGTGTTTCCAAATATTTTTTTTTTATTTTTGTTTGAAAACTTTAAATGCAGTTTTCTCATAATAAGTGTCGTTTAATTTTCATTTTAAGGACACCATCGTGTTCTTCATCCTTTTTTACATAAGAAACACTTAACGACAAAAAGTAATTTGCGTAGTACCTGAGATATTGCATTTTGAATAAATGAAAGTCATAAATTATGAGGGTAAAACTTTTTTTTTATTTTTTTTCCATTTACTCTTAATAAGTAGATTCATTCTCATGACTTATTGTGTGAAATAATATTTAAAGAAAAAAAAATCGATTACATTACCAAGAACAGTGTTGCCAAATTTAAATATTATTTAGCAACTAAAAACTTTAAACGTGATTTTTTTAATTTGATGCATCTAAATATTTGGTTTGATTGCACCATCGTGTCTCACAGCATTTTTACATAAGATAGCTTTTCTGGCAGCACTGCCATTCATTTGATGCCCTTTTTTGTTTTTGTTGATTTTTTTCTGAAGGAGGGACTTCCAGAAATCGGTAGGATTCCACAAAAAACTGATCGGGACACCTCACTCCCGCAATTAGGAAAGAAGATTCAACATCAAGCTCAACATTGAAAAAACAGACAATTTCAACCTCTAACAAGCTAGAATATCTGTAACTGTATATGAATGAAGCGGATAATAATTATCATATCAATTATTGATCGATAGCTGAAGACAGATATTTCTTTCTAATGTGTTTGATGCCCTTTAGTCGTGGATTTCATATACACAATACCAAATCAGAGAGACCCATCCTACTAGCTGCCGCTTACAAATAGTTTCGTTTCTTTTGCGAAATTTAGATCCAGCGGTTGCTTAGAAAGGGGTGTGCTCAGTTTGGTTATCTGGGCTTGATTGCGACTGGAATTCGGTTGGGATGGATTCGAGAGGACTTTACTGGTTTGAGCCAGGATGTCAAGCATCATGACATGAGAATGCGACGGCTGAGGGAGTACTTTTTGAGATCGGAGTGGAACTCCAGACATACATACACAGCACATTCTTTTAGATAGGTATTGCGGATGACGATCAGGGATGCGAATTTGAATTCCTGTAAGTTGTTTACATAGACGTGTGCATTATTTCTGGAATTCCGTGCTTTCACATGATTAAATTGGTAAATTTTTGGAAAGCAAAAAAAAAAGAATTCTGATTATAAACAAAAGTGGATGTAATGCTAGCCTGTAAGCATTAATTTTTAATAAACGTTTTGACAGCTAGGTCGACATGCAGAAACACCCATAAACACCTTCCGACACCCTAAAACACACAAGAAACACAATTACCCCCCGTAAAGTGGGTAGATCACCTTTTCGTGGTACGTTAAGAGATGTAAGATCTACCACTGATTCCTAGTCCTGACAACTTCAAACTAGGGGAACAGGATTTTTTTTGAAGTGCTTAAGACTACGGTTCTGATGCATGGTCAATATTGGTGTCATTCCTTAATTTTGTTGCTAAGGAATCCAATTTTGACTGACAAAGGGGCGTGCCTTTGGAGGGTTTTTCAACACTCCGAAGGGTATAAATAGCGGGACCTTTCAATTAGAGTCGGATCGTTGAGATAAATGCAAGAATGACAACTGTAAAAAAAAATCGAATACTTCATCATTTCTCAATAGTGATGGAGTAATGCGACATGCACTAAACTAAGGACACGGGAAATACTACAATAGATCAAATTATTGGTCCAATTGGTGGTGTTAGGTCCCGAACAGTGGAACACAATTACAAGCTTCGTTCTGGTGTTACGGAACTGAAAAGTGTTTGTGATGGCCATGCTAAGTGTTTGTGATGGCCATGGAGACCTGTATGCGACAATGCAACGGCAGTGCTGCAACCCATTGAATCTGCATACAGTTATTCGTCGCAAGAGTTTGAAACCAATTTCTGCACGGTTTCATGACGAGTATAATAAGAACTTTGCCAAAAATTATCGAAGGTCGGAAAGTATGCGTGCAATGTCATCTGGCGGTTAAAAAAAACATGGATAATGACCAGCTATCTGCAGGTAAAATTCATCTTGAATTATTCACGTCTATATTGTAGCGAAACAATCTGAGTTTTTCAAATTCACTCGTCATAGCTTACGTGAAGGTGAAGTCGTTGTAGTGGCAGATTTCTCTGAAAACTATTCTTTTGTTTTATTAAGTGTACAGGGTATTCATTATAATAATTTGCTGGCAACCGTTCACACTTTTGCTGCCTACACTGTACACCAGAATATATGTGTACCATTGAACTGCGTCATAATGTCCGATACTTTAGAGCACAGCACAACAACATTTCATGCTTTCCAGCGCCATTTCATAGAGTATCTCAAATCCTAGGTATCACAGTTGTCCAAAATTTCGTACTTCTCTGATGGTGCGGTACCCTGGTTTTCCCTGAAAGCAAATTTGGGGTGCCCACTGAGTGGCACTACTTTGTTACGGCACATGGCAAAGGACCAAACGACGGATTGGGATGAACTTTGAAGAGATTGGCAACGCGAGCTAGTTTACACGCCAAAGGAGCTCTATGACTGGGCAATGAAGAATTGCAATACAAACGTTAGATTTGTGTCATCTGAGATCTGTTCCGAAGAAAAACAAATACTGTTCCACCGTTTTGCTTCAGCTGCATCTATTCCTGGTATTCGTTCAATACATGCAGCAGCTCCTTCTGGTATTGATACCATTATTATGAAAACTGTTACTGGTGCCACAACTGGTTCAGCTTTTAGAGTTGTGGCAACGAAACGTGCAAAGCAAGTGGATTTGAATAATAATGGAAAGAAATCATCACGAAGTGCTAGCCTTGAGAAGAAAAATAAGTAAATTGTAATTTATGTTTTACACTGTTATAATAAAATGTAAGAAACAAATCGATCAAATCGATGATACAATATTTTATGTATTGGAATGTCTTAATTTATAATGCAATTCGTTTAGATTATTACTAGTGTAAAGTTTTCAGCCACTAAATAATATTTAAATTTGTCAACACTGCAAAAAAAACTATTATTGGTTTTATCATACCTATTTTGTTTCCATCAAGTATTATTTAACACAGTAAGTCATGAGAATGAATCTTATTACGAGGAAACGTTAAAAAAATAACCCTCATAATTTATGACTTTCGTTCATTCAAAATGCAATATCTCAGGAACTACGCAAATTACTTTTTGTCGTTAAGTGTTTCTTATGTAAAAAAAGGTGAAAAACACGATGGTGTCCTTAAAATGAAAATTAAACGACACGTATTATGAGAAAATTGCATTTAAAGTTTTCAAACATATATAAAAAATATATTTGGCAACACTGTACAGAAACAAAAAATGCAGATTTAGATGTCTTGTCTAATTTCCTTATTAAAATAATACCTAATGCAATTTGTAGCTTTATTTGTTCCGGAGATATGAACAAAAGAAAGTAGTGGTTTCTAAAAAATAATGAAAAATGAAAAATGTGCCCCTTGATCGAGGGGTGCTACGATCAGCATACAACTTTGGATTTTTAAAATTCGAACTTAAATGAACATTCCCTCCAAATTTGGTCCAAATCGGAAGAGGTCAATTTCACTATTGCAATTTTTTGTGACCACTTGGCGCGGAATGACCCATATGCATCACTCCATACACTGCACAAATGTTTAAGAGAAAATCCGACGGTAGTCGGCAGAACGCTAGCCATTTTTTGAGAAGTCCGCGTTTTTTCGGAAACCGGATAAAAAATTCTAATTGTTACACTTCGTTGCACTTCCACGACCGCGCTTTGAAATACTTGACGATGCACTTCACATTCAATAAAATGTTATTCGAAATTTAAGGAAAAAATAGTTCACCAGTTCACTGAGAATTCAAACAACGTAAACAAACGAACTCGTAGCGTAGACCACGACCGCGGCAAGTGTTGGCAGCTTTCGTAAACAAAATAAGTCACGAATCTCTGTATATAGGATTACTAGAAATGCCCAAATAGTTGTCTCATCTTTTATCTCTTCAAAAGGCCAACGACACATCCGGGCTGCTGATAGCTCACGCTTGCCTGTTCCTGTGCTTCTACAAGGACATTGAGGAAAAGTTGTACACCGAAATCATGGAATTCATGCCGACCGAAGAGGCGGATATCAATCCGGACAGTCTGAAGCAGTTGGTATACATGGAGAAGTTTCTGAAGGAGTGCCTACGCCACTGTCCGGTGGCACCGAACATCTCCCGGGAAAACATGGCCGAGATCGAAATCGACGGCGTCAAGGTGCCTCCCGGGAACATTTTCGTGATGAACTTTTACGCGTTGCACCGCCGGAAGGACCTGTGGGGCCCGGATGCGGAAAAGTTCGACCCGGAACAGTTCTCCGAAGAGCGCTCGCAAAATCGACACCCATTTGCGTACCTGCCATTCAGCGGCGGAAACCGGATATGCATCGGTGAGTGGCATATTGTACTTACAGCCGGTCTAATTGGATTCGAATAACTTAATTTCTGCTTTCAGGATGGCGATATGCGATGCTCAGCATGAAGGTCATGCTGATTTATTTGATTAGGAATTTCCAGTTCGAAACGAAGATTCGACCGGAGGATGTACGCTACCGGCACGATTTGACGATGAAGCTTCCCTTTGATCACATGATTAAAGTGACGAAGAGGTGCACGGGTTCGATGAATGTCACCGGTGATATTTTGCGAGCGGCACCGGTGCAGAAGGCGGGTAGAGACTAGTAATTTTATTAATATTTCTTAGAAGGAATGGTTCTGTTAGGTGTTAATATTTACATATTTAAGGTAATTTCTTCATCCTTGCAGTAATTAAACCATAAATGTACAAAGTGAACGATTCCTACTATGTTTAATTAGCGCTTCGATTTTAGCTGCTTTGTCTCCAAATCACGTGCACAGTGGTCCTGGAAATTAGGAGAAAATTAATATTTTGACCCAAAATTTGAATAAGGCTTTTATTTTGATGAAAGTAGCAAACAAAAATAGAAGAATCATTCGATATAAACAGAGCTGAAAAAGTTAAATTTTTATACATATTTGTAATTGACTGTTTCTCACACCGAACGGCCTGGCTTCGGAAGGTAAGTAAAGCCGTTGGTCCCCGGTCTATGAGTTGATGGGTTGATAGGTAGGGTCCAGGTGTGGGTGCTGCCTCCGTGGCTTCGGTTAAAGCCCTATAGTAAAAATATGGACGACTGTCACCACAAAACTGAAAAAAGCTGTTCCAATCGAGCAAAGCGGTGCATTTTGACGGATCGATTGGAACAACTTTTGACAGACGTCCATACTTTTACTGTAGGGCTTTAGCTTCGGTAGCATACTCAGCACGGAAAACAAGATCGACGGAAAACAAATCAAGGAAAAAAACAAAATTGTAAATTTAAGGATTCTATTTCCAACTTTTACCAAAATATACACTGAGGCAAAAGAACGTATGATTTCCATAAGAGCGCCTTATGAATTTTAGCTCCATGGAATTGATATGAACTTAATTGATTTGTAAACGCTATATCTGAACGCTCTTTTTTGCAATTTTCATGTATCTCAGTTTTTTCATCACAGGAAGTTAGTATGGATCCTTACTAGCAAATCTGTGAAAGTTTTAAATTATTTCATCTGGAGTTTTTTTGAGAAAAATTGTTTTGAGGTTTACTTAGCCGTTTATTGACGGTACAAAACTATTACGGATTGAATAATTACAGAAACATAACCTTCAAAATTGGATTGAAGTTATCTAAATGGCATTAACGAGTTCTATTTGCCTTTCAACTAAGGCCCGCATTGATTTTGTTCACTTTGCGTAAAATCATATTAATAGTTGTGCCGGAGAAAATAAATATTCTCGGGGCGGTAAACTTCTCCTTAAGGTCAATATGTAACATTTAGTTACCGTATGCGCGATAATGTTTGCATCATTATACACTCTGAAAACGAAACAAAATCTGAAAATTTACCGAGTGAAAAAAAAAATATTTAAAAGAAATATGTTTGTAAGAGCTTAAACCTATGTTAATCTTCGATAGAATTTCCATTTGCCGCAATTGCGGCCTCTAAACGCTTCCGGAATGCTCGACAGGTTCTGATAATATATTCCGGATCCATATATCTCAAGGCACGGGTCAATATTTGTCTGAGGCTTGCTGAACTGGAGGTGAGTCTGGCACAGGTCTTGACGTTCCTGACGCGCCACACTGAATAATCCAAGGGGTTATAATTGGGGTCTGGATGGCCACATATCTTTCGACTAGGATGCTGTCTTGCTGAAAAACCGCATTCGGCTCCGGTCCATATTGCTCAGTAATCCACGGAAGGACATACATACTTTGTCCGTATTCACTTATGATGGCGCCGACATTATCACGAATACGGCATCTTGATAACTTTATGTTTTACATAACTTTACACTATACTTTTGTTATATTACAGACGCTAAACGTATGAGGCACAACGACCGTCAAACTACGCAGTCCGGCCTCAAATTAGCTATGAGCAAAATGTTGTCCAGGCTCGAACAATTCTTTTCCATGGTGATGTTTAACATGATATCAGGCAAAGGAAAGACTTGTCTAGTGAACACCCCGCATAAACGCGAACCATAAATTGACCTTACCTAAAATGGTTAAAAATTATTTATAATCCCTGCTAAACTTTAACTGAAATGGTTATGGAACTTTACATGAACGTTTAATGATAAAGTTTCAACCTTATGTATTATGGTTTTTTGGAACTGGACCTTACAAATAATGGGTTGTTAAGAACCATTACCATTCCAAATTCTTGTTTTCTCCATACATTTTCAGAAAGAGAACTATATAAGAACGTTTTTACTTATGATTTGAGAACATTAATGGTAATGGTTATGGTAGTCAGTAAGGTCCATTAATGGTTTTGTATTATCGCTCAACTTTACGTGGAATATATCGTGAATTGGTAATCAGTAAATTACAGGCAACCAATTGGCGATATATTCCACATAAAGTTGATCGATGTTACAAAACCATTCGTGGACCTTACTGACTACCATAACCATTACCATTAAAGTTCTCAAACCATAAGTTAAAAGGTTCTAATATAGTTCTCTTTCCGAAAATGTATGGAGAAAACAAGAATTTGGAACGGTAATGGTTCTTAACAACCCATTATTTGTAAGGTCCAGTTCCAAAAAACCATAATACATAAGGTTGAAACTTTATCATTAAACGTTCATGTAAAGTTCCATAACCATTTCAGTTAAAGTTTATCAGGGATTATAAACAATTTTTAACCATTTTAGGTTATGGTTCGCGTTTATGCGGGACATTAACGTGGCAAAGAATGATCTTAATAACTTTGGGCGGCTGCCTCAAATGCAAAATGTAACCCGGCCTGCGCAATTTAGATTCACTGGTCATGGCGACTGAATTGTAGGCCGTTGCTTGATAAACGTGCAGCTTAGATTAGGATGCAATTTAGATCGTCAGCTAAAGGTTTTGGACAATATGCCTGCTACGATAAGACTTTGTTTTGGTGACTAAAGCATGGATGAGTTCGAAAAGTGCATAGGCCGAAAGTCCTATCACATAAGCGATTATTGCAAGAGTACAGCCAAGGGGTAAGACAGTTCCTAATCATGAGCAATTTTAGAGTTCTTTTTGAGGCACCTCGGGTAACTCACATTGCTCAGTGAGCAAGATTACTGTCATTTGCATTCTCACTTTTCACATCTCAGGAAGATATGAAGGTGCCAAGCCGAAAAGCTGCTCTCAAGCAAAACAACAACAAACAACTGGCTTGATTGATGTGGTAAAAGAACTCGTTCCACCTGACCAAATAGTCCAGATCCGCCAAATTATACGTACCTCGACATCCTCCGATACTCGTCGAAGCAAATCCCGTTCTCATCGTTCAACAACCTGCCGCTAGATGAAACTGCGATCGTGAAATGGGCTGTTTTCTGGGATATACCACCGAGATTTTGCTACCACCGTCGAAGGAAGTCACCGGTGAAGTTGAACATAACTTCTTTAAAAAAATATTTCATCCAGAAAGAAAAAAGTTTTTTTTAACTATCATTCATTATATTCGGAGCATGTTTCGTTCTTTGGTTTCTCTGAGCTTGAGCTTGAGCTTGAGCTTGAGCTTGAGCTTGAGTTTGATTGACCGCCCACGGTTGCTACTCTGTTATTGCCAGATCAGCTGTAATTACACAGAGAACCAATAGACGATGCTTGGGACTAGCAATCATCCTCAATGTGTAAAAACTGGTGATCTTAAATTAGGCAATACCAGCGCCGGCCGCGCCCGAACACAGGTCAAGAAAGGAATGGGAAGGATTGTGTTGACATGACACTCGCTTTGATGGAAACCGAGAACACCTCTGCACTTCCACGAGGAATCACTGGGATGTTGGATAAGAGGGTTGGGTTTGCAGCAGGGTTCGTTTTGGTAAACGATAAGCTAAATTGATGTCCTAACGATCATATAACGCGAAGGAGCTTGGGACTAAACCCACGGTCTTCTGCTCAGTAAGCAAAAACGTTTGCCACTAGGCAGACGAGCACCTTTTTAATCATCGAGTTGCTGTTATTACCATGTAGTCATATTAACAAATAAAACGATTGACGAATCTTGAATGTGGATGGGCCTGAGATTAGACTCATGATGTTCTGCTCAGTAAGCAAAAACGGTTGCACTAAGACCACCGAGCCCCTCATATCACATAATACCGTTGCTCAAATTTTTGTATCCATTCAAACCCGGAACCAACGACAACAACGAGTTTCGCAAAATACACGATACACAAGCGATTTTACCATAAATCTCTTTGATATGTAAGGACCTGGGACCGCGTTTTTCTGCTCAGTAAGCAGGCCACTGTAACCGACGATCTTTCAAATCCGAAAACTAAAAACTACGAAAAAGTACTTAGGCCTTCATTAAGTTCCACTTTCACGCGACGTTCAATGTTTCAATTTGCTCTTTACGTATTGTTCAGGCTATAAATAGGCTCTTTTCAAAAGTTACGCGAGAAATACGCACAATCGTCACCTACCTCGCAAAACTGGTTCCAAACGACAACAAAGGCATAAGCAACGATGGATTGTTGAACTTTGCTGGCTGGTGTAGTGCTGCTGAAAAAAGATAAGTCTATTATTTTGGTTAGTGATCGTTTGGATTTGGGTCACCCCACGTTGTGTTTAGGTTAGTATAAATAAATAATACTATTTAGTCATATAAATCACCACACCTCATTATCTTCAGCGTTATCGGTTTTCGTTTCTGGATCTTTAGTTGCCTCTGTGATATACTTACTTGCGGCATACCATTTTGGGAGTGTATATGAGCGTGTACCATGTACGGTAGCTCATCTCTCATCGTGATGGTGGGACATAGTAGACAAATTAGAGAGAAAACAAGGAGGTATTAGTATTAGTTATATGTAAACAAACAAAACAAAAGAAGAGAAGAGGAAAGAAGAGCAGACAAATAAAAAAGGGATGAAGTAGATAACAAATAAAAGAAACGTAGGCAGATTATTAGAAAAGGCATTATCCGAGACTCGGCAATCAAATGTCACTCCCGCCGAGATCTCAGTGAAACCCCCTCCCCGCCGAGACCCACACAGCCGAGCTCGGTAGAAAAAACTAAGTGTGTAGATAGATTAGTAGGAAAATAAATAAAACTACTTTATGACTCAAAGTGCAATGAATGAGCATAATCAGCCCTGCTGACCCCTCCAACATTAGTTGCAGGCAGTGGTTGTTAGATAATGCGGCACTGTAACTACTACTATTTTAGAGGTATGATTCGTCAAGTTTATACAACTCAATGTTTCAATTGAGCCAAACTATCTATCTTACAATTACAAAAGCAAACCGAAACTTACAATTATATGCAAATGCAAAATGAAACTTGACAAATCATCGTCAATCCCCTTATTACAGGGCAGGGCCTGACGATTTGAATCTAATTTAATTTTGATCAGTGAACGGGCACCATATGGTACATTTTCTCAACATGAACCTATCATTTCCAGCCTATCTGAACTATTTAATAAATGGAAGCCTTAACATGGGTTAC